GCACAAAAAGGGTGCCTGGAGTGGCGCTCAGACAACATACAAAGCATCTGGAAAAAATTGCCGGAATTTCGGGAAAAAGCAACGATCCATGAACTATCAAGAGGCTCTTGCACTGTCGCTTAGCATCGGACTAGCTTAGCTCCAGTTTACAATTCAAAGCAATCTAACACTGAACTCTCCATACAGGCCTCAACCTCTGGGTGAGCACATAGGAGAAGCGAGTGAATCGCACCAGATTAATGTGAATGAATGAAAATTGACAGACATTTCAGGAATGTTTGCTTTCTGCTTTCCTACTTTGTTGACGAGTTATATTAACTGGTGTGTTTTGAACTTCAGGGACAAGACTGAAGTCTCCATACAGCACTCAACTTACTCGACCGTAGACCAACAAAGGAACATTTAACAAGGCAACATGTCCCGAAACACAACTGCCAGCTGCCGAAACCCGGGATTGAACCAGGAACATTTAGATCTTCAGGCTGTCATCATCCAAAGGGGACCAAGGTGCAATCGTAGGCATACTGTAACATTGTAAGGTTATGTGGTGCAAATCATTTCTTTTTTTTGTTTGTTGTTTTGTAGATGAAATGACCATCTTTGTCTTTTTGTCATGGCCATTTGGTTTCCTCGACATAGTTTGTGGCCCAAACTAGTGAGAGAACGTCAGCGAACAAGCAAAAGGAGAGGCACGTCCGTCCATGTCAGTGACTTTTACAGTTGTGCAACCACTGAGGATTGGTACCCACAGCAGCAACAAGAGCACACTCTGCCCTTATTTCTACTTCCTCAACCTATCAGTGAGTGAGACTGCTGACATCCTATTAACATGACACTGATAGCATCCATGTAGCTTGTCTGGGTTCTAAAATATGCCCTCTGAAATTTCATGTTTTCTATACAGTTAGGTTTTCTGAAATGTTGCTCTCAGTCCATCTGATCTCAGCAATAAAAAACACATTGAAATTCTCAAAGCAAACAGGCGCAGCAAAGCTTCCTGTGTTTATTCCATCATCTAAAGCAGGGGTGTCAAACTCATTTTTACTCCGGGCCACATCAGCATCATAGTTTCCCTCAAAGGGCCGATTGTAACTCTAAGACTGTATAAATGTAACAACATCCTAACATATTGTTAACTAACTCTCTGCATTTGATTATTGTTTATTCAAGTGTAAAAATATTGTACATGCAGTTATATAAATGTAAAATTATATTTAAGCACATTTCTGTTATTATAAATAAATAATAAATAATTTTAATTTAGGGTTAAGAAACCCACATTACTCTTTCAAAGATCAAACTTTTAAAGGAAATAACAAAGACAAATATCATCAAACACAAGTTATTACATTAACTTTGTTCAAAGCTATTTTTGTCACCTCTCTGCATCACTAATGTCCCCGCCGTCGTCCCGTGCATGGCAGCTACATCCAAGAGCTCCTCACTCAGAGTCAGGTCTTATAAACACTGATAGATGAGCTGTGTCCGTGTTGTCTGTGCTTTCATCAACAGCTAATGAAGAAGACGAGTACCTGCTTGTCTCTTCGGCTAGCTGTGTTGTTAGATTGCTGCTAGTTCCTGAACTCGGTCTGCGATGGTGTTTCTTCACAAACTGACATTTGTAAAAGTCTGTATCTGGTCGGAGCTCACCTGCTCACATACCTTTAGCATGCACTGGGCTGTAGCTTTTGTAAATATATTCTGCTGTGATTGCAGTCTGCCTTTTAATTCTTGGACAATTTTATGTTTTTCTTGGAGGCTAAATTTAGCTCCGTGTTTGGTGTCAAAATGCCGACGTGAATTGTATCCTTCATCACCGACACGCCTCATAACACTGAAGACAGACCCGTTTTTCTCCTTCAAGCACAAACATTTATTCGCTTTCCCATCTTAAATTACATTTTCTTCCCTCTGCATCAATTGTTCTCTTCGTGGACATTTTGGGATTATTTTTCGATCTTTTTCAACTCAATCACTTGTTGGAAAACCGCTTTACGGGCTGTTCCCTCTCCTGTCCACCTGTTGTGATGTCACAGACAACATGCTATCTCATAATTTCAACTTTCTATCTCATAATTTCGACCATGGGGATACTTTTATTTTCAAGTCTAACTATTTTTTTTCTAAAATAAAAAATAAAATTATTTTTTATTTTATTTTTTATTTTTTTTGCTGGCGGATTCGCGGGCCACATAAAATGACGTGGCGGCCGGATTCGGCCCGCGGGCCTTGAGTTTGACACGTGTGATCTAAAGGTACACTTTGACTTTCAGACCACTAGAGGGCAGAGCCCTGTAAGGGTTGATGCTGGAATTAAGTGGAAGTAAGCCACTTACAACTACATTTACATTGACTGTTGCTCTTAAAGTGTCGAGATCAAGTGTTGAGCATGTCAAAGAAGCGTAGTTTGGCCTAAAGATTCTCTTGTTTGAATCACTCCTTAATCATCCTCTGAAAGATCCTGTCATGTGCACTTTTACCCAGTTCAAATATTTGGTTAGAACTATCATACAACAGCTGTGCATGAGCTCTTTTGCATATACTTGAAATTACTGTGTGACACACAATTCCTTGTTGGGAAAAAAACCTTCTGCTCACCTTTTGAGCTCTATTCTTTCTGCACTGTGATATCAACTACTGTATTCACTTTAGGGTGGAGTTGTCCTTTAAGTATATGTTCATACCAGACTGAAGGTGAGCAGCCTGGGTGATGTGTATCTGTAGGACAGGTAGATGAAAGCCAGTCTTCCTACTGTGATGGAGGCCCAGAATGTACTGTCCAGACAGCCAGCTGTCTTATGACCCATCAGCAGAGGAGGGGACACTGCGTAGGTGTAGACAAAGCCAGCGTAAGAACCCTGCAGCACAACAAACACAGCAGGAGGTTAGCGCAGAGCAGAGGTTTCTATGCCTTACTCCTCTCCCGCTGCGCCCACAGCACACCCTGCTATAGTGTTAAGTGTTTGTGTTTTTTATGTGTGTTGTGTAGGCTGGAAGTCTCACTACAATGCCATCAGTGATGAAGAGGATGGCCCCACCCACTGCATGGAGAATGAAGAAAGAAGCAGGGCGGCCCCGGAGTTTGGCAGGGTTACAGCAACCAAACAAACTCCCATGACCTGGACAGAGAGGGATACTGAGGTGGGTCTTTTCATTGGAATGTGGTGGATCACAAGCACACATATATACACGCATTACCTTGACCACTGTCACCGGTCGGGCTGGGGCTGGTACTGGACAGAGAGTCTCTGTCGATCAGACGTTGACTGTTGTCGGAGCAAGGCAGCAGTCTCTCGTGGTACATCAAAGCGAGCACTGCTGCTGGTACTGGGAGCTGCCAGGATACACACACACACACGCACGCACACACACAAAGAGGCAAATTGTTAACCAAGTTAACAGACAACACCTGACCTCACCCATGTCCTGTCCACTTCCTGTCAAATGATTCAAATTGTGACCCTCCCGTCATAAAAGAAGAATACACGCTGTCTTATCTCGTCCTCTGCTTGAAACAGATCCAGTTCAAACAGAAGAAGGCAGAGGTTATTACTGAGGTGAGAGCTTAACGCTTTATCTGAGAGGCAATAACCAGGCCAACGGCCATCTGAAAAAAATGCAAAAAAGAATAACAAAACTGAAAAACAAGACATTTTGAGTGGTTCTGATTAGCAGCAGCATTGTTAGGAAATTTCATTTTTTTCCATTATGGCCACTGCCACATGTAATTGTGCAAACACTGTATGGAAAATCTTGTCATGGGATGCCTAAATTGTATGATTTTGCTCTATGATTATGTGGTTGAGTTTTGGTATTTCACGTTGGCCTCCTGGTCCAAGAAGCCGTCTGTATGTGGCATTTAAGATAGGCTGTGTCCCTAGTTGTAACTGTAATCATCCATTAGTTGCGAAACCTGCAAAACTGGACAGAGAAACAATTAGTAATTCTCAGCAAAAAAACCCTCTTCATGTCAGGATGCTGCATGTCACGAGTAATCTTTACTCTTAGTCAAATCACGCAGCTACACCTGGTTTCACATCTAGCCTGCCAACCAGCAGCTACAAGAGTCATTTACCCATTCACAGGTAATACACATTTGAGGCAAATGTATACTTATACTAGCACGCGGTGTACATATTTCTGTGTCATCAATCACATGACACATGTAATACTGACAAGAACTCACATTGATGAGAGCCATGATCCAGAAAGCGTACGACACCCGTGTAACGACGACACCATCGGTGTGCAGAGGATACTGGGAGATGTTGCCTATCGCCACTCCGTGCCCGGCCAGGCTGCTGCGGAGGTGCTGTAGGTCTGAGGGAGAGGACGAGGACGAGTTGGCGGTCCAGTTGGCACCCAGGACACAGCAGTCCTCTGCCAGAAAAGGATCGGCCACCAGGGGGCTGACCAGAGCTCCCAGGCCTATGAAGAAATGCAAGGCCTGCTGGAGCGAGACGTGGACATAGACTTATGATTATACCGTCAGCTTTATTATAGTATTTAGACAGTGACACTATTTTTGTTTCTGACTCTGTACACCACCACAATGGATTTGAAATAAAACAACTAGTGTATGCTTTCAGTGCAGACATTAGGGGAATAGAATTACAACCATTTTTATACATAGACCCCACATTTCAGGGTACCAAAACTAATTGGACAAATTAACATAATATTGAATAAGTTCTTCATATTTAATACTTTGTTGCAAAATACTTTGCTGTCAATGACTGACTTCAGCCTGGAGCTCATGGTGCAAAACAGATGAGGGCACTGAGACCGAACCAACAGTACAGTCAACCAACGCAACATGCTAAAAGAACACTATAGAGGTCATCTGACCTATTGTTAAAATAAAAATATTCATTAGTGCAGCTTTAACTTTCTGTAGTTTCTTTACGTCATCATCAAGTAAATTAACCAGAAGGAACTAAAAATCTAAAAATTCTCTTGAGCGGTACAGAACACACACACACACACACACACACACACACACACCCCTTCCCTCGCTCCCCTCTTCTGACCTGCAGGAAGATGGCGGAGTCCTTCTGGTACAGCTTCACCAGCTGCAGGTTGGCAATTGTGTCAATCACCCCCATGGCTAAGCCAGCAATCGCCATGGCGACAGAGAGCAGTAGCACATGGTTACACAGGGGTATGACGGCAAACACCAGCGAGATGATGAGAGTGCAGCAGAAGAGGGCTAGGAGCGAGGACGGGAGTCTGGAGGAGACAAAAAGAGAAGACAACCCCCACAGCAGTATTCAGACTGTCACTCACAGGAGCGTTACTTTACTAGCTTTAGTTGGAATGATGTATCTTTTACTTACAAACCATATTCTTGTGAAGCTTGTTGTCAGTGATTACGTTTTCCAATACAACTCAAACCAGGCTGACTAAAACCGGGACTTTCCAGCTTGTTATTGTCGCTGCAGTTCAGTCACCTTGATGGTCTGCTGCCCCATTATCTCATATTTACCACAGCTTCACCTTGTATTCTCCTTTCCTGCCAACTTTCCGCTCTCCTTTTGACCTTGTCCCAGATAACTTTGAGTTTGTCCGGGACATTTCACCCAGAGCCTGGTGAAGTGTGTGGATGTAGTCAGTAGCAGTAATCATCAGAGGTGTGTTGGTCCACCGCTTCGGTCCAGACTACAATATCTCAACAGCTATTGCATGGGTTGCCATGAGATTTTGGACATACATTCATTATCGCCAGAGAATGAATCCTACACACTTGGTCTGGCCTTTCCTCTACCGCCGCCAGCAGGTCAATGTTTTTCAACTGGACAGAGCAGACTGGCACAACATTTGTTAGAGACATTCATGGTCCCCAGATGATTAATCCTGCTTTCTAGCTTCTCTTCGAGTGCTGCCATTAGGTTGACAGATTTTATTTTGAGTGATTATGTCTCGACAGCCTTAGACTGCCTTGAAATTTACCAAAGTATTTGGTACAATCAAGATAAGGAGATGATTTTTCTCTCCTGAGAGTCCAAACAGTCTATCTAACAGAGCACGTTGATGGCAGAAACACCTGACCTCACCTATGTGTCCCTGTCCACTTCACACACTCACATTAGCGGTTGACTGGGTCCTCAATGTGCGAGGTAAGGCACAGACCTGGAACAACCAGTGAGTCATTTGAATGTTGTGAATTTGCCAGTCAAATTTAGAATAAAGTCTAACCTTCAAAGTGAAAAGGCTCAAAGTGGTCATTGAAATACTTCAAATCCATAAAGTGTGTCAATCAGATCCAGTATTCAACCTCAAGGTCAGAGCTGTCTTCATGTGTCCGACCAAACTTTACATTTTTTTAAAGCAGAAAATGTCATGTTTTCAAATAGATTTTCTTTCACTTTTATCTCAATATGTTATGATATTGTTACAAAAGCTTTTCTTCCCTGCCAGGTATGTAATTCAGGTTTTAAAGTTCCAAAAAATAGCTATGGCCCCTGCCTCGTGCTGTGGTATACGTATTTTATAAAACAAATGGGAATATTTCTTACTGACTTAAAAAAAAAAATATATATATATATATATATATCTATACAGGTATTTTGTCACATTTAAGAATGCCAGATTAAACTATGTTATTCTCTCACTCTGTTTTTTGTTGACTTTGGCTTCACTTCCTCATTGTTTGGTGTCCCACAGACACCATTGCTTTGTGTGAACAAACAACACAAATAATTGCTAAATCAACCTATTTTGCCCTTTAAATATATATTAAAACTAAAAAAGTTATTGAAGTGTCTTTGCCACAAACTGGGCTTGCACTTTTGGAGGTGACACAACATAGAAATGACCATAGAGAATTGTTATTACACCAAATAAGAAGATAGCTCATGTCTTGTATGTTATGCTGTGTATGGACACATATACCATACATTCCTTTTGTCTTCCAAACATTCTCGTTCACACACACATAAATGTACAGTATGCTCTCCTGTTACTCCCCGTTGGACACAATCTGCTATAAACTCTAATAACAGAAATCCAAATTGGCTTATTGTTATATAAAAACAATCACAGATAAAACATATTGAAAATATTATTATTTAGCCGGCTGGGGTCTCTGAGACCCCAAAATATTCCTTCAGTATGAAATAACAAATTCTCATAAAATGAGGATAAGTCATGAAGTAGCCCATCAAGGTGATTAAACAATGTTAGGTATGTGTGTTGAGCTGTTAGAGACATACTATCACAACTAGTCTCTGTTAAGTACCACACACACAATTAGTCTTAATAGGAATATTATGGGAATATTACTATCCATTAGATTTGATAAGATCAGTAAACGGTGGAGTAGGCACAATGTCGGACCGCAGGACATCCCACTCACGTCTTCTTGAAGAGTCCTCCCAGGCTGCTGCCCACCAGCAGGAAGAACTGCTGGGAGAAGAAGACCCAGGTGATCTGCTGCAGCGTGGACTGGGTCTGACACCTCAGGTCCAGGACGGTGGGTCCCAGGAAGGCGATGCACAGGCCGAAGCTGAAGAACGCACTCCAGTAGGTGAGAGTTTGCCGCCAGTGGCGCTTGAACAGCGACCAGATCCGCTCGTCCAGCAGCGTCATGCCGGTCCTTTTCAGAGGCGGTCGGGCTCCAGCTGCCAGCCGCTCATTTACACCGAGGAGTTATATCAGACGGAACGACAGGAACTGCCAACGAAGAAAGAGAGTCTCATGAGAGCCTCAGTCCGGGGCACTCTCCAGTTTAATGCCAGTTGTTCTTTTGACGGACGCGGCGCTGATTGGCTGATGTCCCGAAGGTACCGCCCACTGTCAGACTGCTTTCAGATCAGTTTCAGAATGCTGCATGACGTTTTCCAAGTAGAAGTAGCAATACAACACTGTACAAATACTCCAACAATGTGTTTGAGGTAGAGAAGCATCATCAGCCTGTTGTCTTTATATTGACATAACTTTATGTATACGTCATACAGAGACAAGCTGAGGAAACCAGTTCAGAGTGCTGATGTGAGGCTTTCACTACTTTTGTCGGTAGACCATGAAAATATATTTAAGAATTTTAAAGATGTAAATGATTCATATTTTCAGTTATTTGAATAAAAAACATACATTTCAATAAAAAAGGCAATCTGTAACAATGTGTATCTTTCATATTTTATAAACTGATCAAATGTTTTGTTTGTAAAATCTTGATATAAGTATCTAAGTGAATAATTGTAGTGGAGAAAACGTGGCATGAAATGGAATAACTCAAGTAAAGTACAAGCAGCTCAACATTGTGCTTCAATAAAACTTTTCTTTTTGGCTTTCCATTATTTCTCTTTTACCATCGTTGCATCATGAAGACAATTATTAGTCCGATATGCAAGAGTTCAAAAGCTCTAACTCTTTTTTTGATGTTTAAGACCCCCAAGTCAACTCACTCCCAGTCTCAGTGGTAAGCCTCGACCTGAGAACGACTGATAATGACGTACCAGAAGATCTCAAGTCACACTCATGTTAGCAGAAATATAGGAGCCAATCATACATGCCTTAAAAGTGATCATTACATTCTTAAAATCTAAAACATACACGCAACCAACCACTGATCTGAAGTCTGTCAGTATCCAACCGTGAGATATGGGTAATGTGTTCTTCCTCACAAGATGAGAGGTAACTTCAGATAATCTATTTACTCGTCGGAAACGTCACAGCACTCTTCTGTCATTTTTGGACAGAAGAGTGCTGTGTTTTAGAACAGCTCTTGTAAGCCAAAGTTGTAATCATGTGAGCAGATAAACTGCAGACTGAAGAATCAGAAGAATTGAGATTCAATTCAATTCAATTCAATTTTATTTTGTATAGCCCAAAATCACAAATTACAAATTTGCCTCAGAGGGCTTTACAATCTGTACACATACGACATCCTCTGTCCCAGGACCCTCACATCAGAACAGGAAAAACTCCCCAAAAAAAACTTTAACAGGGAGAAAAGTGGAAGAGACCTTAGGGAGAGCAACAGAGGAGGGATCCCTCTATCAGTGCTCTGCGTCTCGTTTTAAAGGAAACAATTAAAAAGGGATTTGCAAAAACGAAATACGGCTCGTTATTTGGGTCCGTGTACGTTTTAGTCATCTGTTTTACCGTTAATTCGAAAAACCAAAATACGGAAATACATGGTATTCTCGTTTTTCGTTTCAAACCAAGAACGGGAAAACGGAAATGGGCGGTCGTACTTCCGTTTTTGGTTCTAAATTCAAAAACGGAAAAACCAATAACCAAAGTCAAATAAGGTCCGTGTACGTTTTAGTCATCTGTTTTACCGTTCAGTCGAAAATACGGAAACCAAAGAACCAAAGTCAAATAACGAGCCGTATTTCGTTTTTGCAAATCTCTTTTTTGTTTTTTCCTTTAAAACGAGACGCAGAGCACAACAGGTAACCCGGAACAAGAATATTTCAAAATAAAAGTGAAGGCAATATAATGACCGTATGCAAGAAATGAATACATTCATTAATTAATCTGGGCCGATGGGAGTGCGTTAGCATCAGTAGTTGACTATATGCTGTTTAATATTCATTTATCTATGTACACAGCAATAATTAAGTTTTCGATTAATCGGTGCATTGTTTGATGCAATACAGGTCGTGATATAGTTTAATCAACGTCATTTTCGTGTTCAGAGTTGTAGCCACTGATATTTATTTTTCCACCGTATTGTGCTGTTGATTTAGTGAACGTGAAGTAGATGCAAAGTCAAAGTGTTTACCATTTTTACCAGTAGATGACAGCATAAGTGTATTTAAACCATAGATTTTGTCATATTTACCTGTGCCTTTAGGTTATTGATACAGATGTATTTAATGCTGATTATTTCATCTGATATTTATGGTTAATTTGCATTAGTTGTATACATCATGTATTTACATGTTATATTTGTGTCATTTAAGAACTCAACATACCTACATAGAAGAGCGAGCATGTGTTCATGATCATGAGGCAATAAATATTGACAATTGAAAAAATAAAGATATTTGGTTTATTCTTATTGAACATTCAGACTAATTTACCTACCTCATTGATTTAATTGTCACACTTAAATCCTGATTTGAATGGTTAAACAAGAGATCAAAGGGCCGAGATGAGACGATATAGATAGATATGTACTTTATTCATCCCCAGGGGGAAATTTGTATGTTACAGCAGCAAGAAACACCAAGAAGCAAAGTAACAGAGTAACCAAAAATATTAAGTATTAAAAAATGCACAATATATAATATATAACAGAATAGGACAAATTAAATATCAGAATATAGAATATATAAGATAAAACAACAAAAATGCACAGTATATACAATGAAATAGAATAGTGTTAAATGAACTAACTAGGTGAAAAACAGTAGTGCAAAAATCAACCCCAGCAAACAACAGTGTAGCAGTGTGTATTTATGTGGAGGATGATCTGACCAGAGGTGATTTATTATAGAGTCTAATAGCAGAGGGCAGGAATGTTTTCCTGTATCGGTCCTTGTGACAGCGGAGCTGAATCAGTCTGTTGGAGAAAGTGCTCCGCTGTCCCTGCAGGAGGTGGTGGAGAGGGTGGTCCGGGTTATCCAATATGGATAATAGTTTCTTCAGTGTCCTCCTCTCCACCACCTCTTCCAGATAGTCTTGTTTGCAGCCAATGATGGAGCCGGCCTTCTTAACTAGTTTGTTAAGTCTGTTGGTGTCTCCGGCTCCAAAGCTGCTCCCCCAGCAGACTACTGCGAAGTACAGTGCACTGGCCACAACAGACTGGTAGAACATCTCCAACATCTTGCTGCACACGTTGAAGGATCGAAGTTTCCTCAAGAAAAAGAGTCGACTCATCCCCTTCTTGTACACAGCGTTGATGTTGGTCTGCCAGTTCAGTCTGTTGTCGATGGAGACACCCAGGTACTTGTACTCCTCCACCATGTCCACATCCTCTCCCAGAACTTTCACCGGTTGTGGAGTCGTCGTCTTCCTCCTGAAGTCGACCACCATCTCTCTGGTCTTGGCCACGTTCAGACGCAGGTGATTTCTACCAGCCCACTCCACAAAGTCATCCACTACTGCCCTGTACTCCTCCTCCCGTCCGTCCCTTATACACCCGACCACTGCAGAGTCATCAGAGAACTTCTGCAGATGGCATGACACAGAGTTGTACTGGAAGTCAGTGGTGTACAAGGTGAACAGGAAGGGAGACAGAACAGGTCCCTGTGGGGCTCCAGTATCACTGACCACCGTATCAGACAGCACACGGCCCAGTCAGACAAACTGTGGTCTGCCCGTGAGGTAGTCAGTGATCCAGGAGACGGTGGACGCGTTAACCCCCACCACTTCTCACTCAGCAGCACTGGTTGGATGGTGTTGAATGCACTGGAGAAATCAAAGAAAGTGATTCTCACAGAGCCACCGGTTCCATCCAGGTGTGACTGAGCTCGTTGCAGCAGGTAGATGATGGCATCGTCCACCCCCACATGAGGTTGGTATGCAAATTGCAGAGGGTCCAGTGAGGATTTCACCTGCGGTCGGAGGTGGGCCAAGACCAGCCTCACCAGCACCTTCATCACATGAGATGTGAGGGCAACTGTTCGGTAGTCATTGAGGCTAGATGGTGTCGTCTTCTTTGGTACAGGAACCAGGCACGACGTCTTCCACAGAACCGTGACTTCCTCCTGCTTCAGGCTCAGGTTGAAGAGGTGTTGCAGGACAACAGACAGCTGGCTGGCGCAGGTCTTCAGGACCCTGGGGCTGATGCCATCAGGTCCAGCAGCCTTGCCTTGGTGGAGTCTCTCCAGCTGTCTCCTAACCTGGCCAATCGTCACAGACAGGGGGGGAGGGGGGTCATAGTGTCGGTGGTGGCAGAGCCCTTTGAAATGGAGGGCTCTGAGTCCATGCAGCTCACCAGGGGGACAGAGGGGGAGGTGGTGGTGTTTGGGAGGTGTGGTGTGTGGAGGAGACAGATGAGGGCTCTGAACTAAACCTATTGAAGAAAGAGTTTAGCTTGTTGGCCCTCTCCAGGGAGCCCCCTGGTTGTCTGCCTCCAACCTTGAAGCCGGTAATCTGCTTCATCCCCGTCCACACCTCCTTCACGTTGTTCTGCTGGAGTTTGGCCTCCAGCTTCCTCCTGTAGGAGTCCTTGCACTCTCTGATCATCAATTTCAGGTCGCGCTGGACTCTCCTGAGCTCATCCCGGTCCCCAGACCTGAAAGCTGCTTTCTTCTTGTTAAGAGGAGCTTTCAGGTTGGACCCATATGTGGGTTAAATGCTGTAGTCCAAATAACATGACTTCAGTTTTAATGCCATTGAGTTACAGAAAGTTTGACTCTATAATGTTTTCCCTAATCTCAAAAGACAAGAGCAAAAACCAGATTAATTGGTTCTCTTTTCTTCTTTGCTGCCATGTTACCGGTCTCGTGACCCCTCAGATTGATCTCTGGAGCTGTAGGCGGATGCAGACTGTCAGGATGAATTGAGTTGGGAACCAATGCAGCAGACTACCAGCTATTTAGCATGTTGGACACACCAGCATGACACTGTCTCGTAAAATTAAGTTCCCATCCAATAACACTGGTCTGCAGAAGACTGCTGTGGGAGGAGGGCTGTTGAAAACTGCGACCGTAATATGAAAGAAAAACATGTCCCTCGAAATGTAATTGAAATTGCAGTTTAATGATATTGGAATGTAATTTTGTAGGAAAAAGGAATGTTTCTAGTGAGATACAATATTAGTTTCCTCTTTCGTTGTAAATTGGATTAATTTGCTCTATCATCACGAAGGTCAAAGGTCACATTTTGCCTGAGTACACTGTGTTGGCCTTTATAGTGGTTTAAATGATCAGATCCTCTTCCAGGTAGCAGGTGCTTGTGATTCTATACAGGCAGTATGACGCGTCTCCTTTAAATAAAAAGTTTGGAATTTTATGTGGTACTTATTTCGCTTTCAAGTCAATAAAGTAGTAAAGGAAAAACTAAGTTTGCTAGTGTAATGCATACACAGAAAACACATTGTGATAAGTGTAACCACAAATATTAACAATATCTGGTGTAATTGATCTTTTGAACAATAAGATTAAACAATATTAAAAAGTTCAAAAACATTTATTGAATTTCAAATATATTCTTAATATATTATATATATAAAATGGTACATTGCAAATACATTGCCAATAATTGTACTATTTGCAAATATATAAAATATACTAACATTGTACGTCTAACAATTTGCAAATTAAATCTTTAAACACACTTTCAAATAAATGTAATGTAGTGCATTTTCGAGAAATATAACAAAAATATACTTAACAGAGAGCAAAAAAATTCTGATTTAAGTTTACATGGTACATGTATTACTAAACAAAACAGAATGACCATGTTTCAAATTAAAACAACACAGAACACTGAACCATCAAAACAAATTGCACCGCTGCAGACTCTCGCTCACTTAATAGAAACACAAACATGCTCCACATTATGTTCCTTTCTTTTGGTTGAACTGCTCGTTGTTACACTTCCGTCTGATGACCGCTCGCACGTCCGAGGCACTCGTCTGCGGAAACTCTTGAATAACAGCATCTGTTAAGAGAAGAGACGAGAAATGATGTCACACAGCATATTCATACAACATTTTCTTCCATTTTGACTACACAGGAAATCCTGTTGAACCAATATTATTTTTTGAACAGTAAATCTGGATTAACATTGAGGAACTATATCAATATGATATGCCAATATTCCTGCCAGTGCAAGTCAAATATATATTTCATCACGGGTGGTGTGTTTACCATGAACATGTGATCCTGCTGCTTTATAAATCACAGAAGCTTTAAATTGTCTACATACGACTCAAGACAATTACCTACCTGTTATGGCCTGCACTTTGGCAACTTCCAGCTGTCTTTTAGGAGGTCCCACTTTCCCAGACTTCCCAGTCAGGGTGGACAGTGCCAGGACCTCCTTTGTGAACACCAGAGCAGCCAGCTCCTGGCAAAAAAGGGTCATGATCGATTAAGCCAAAGGAAGGCCCTCTTTGAAACCGTCACTGTGCTGCCAGCCAAGGCGTGCTGTATATGAGAGAATCAATGGAACACATTAATATACAGTTGGAAGATCTCCCCCTACCTATTAGGAATTAATAGACGTTATTCACATATGAATACAATGAGCTTCATTATTTAAAACACTGCTAGTAGTCTGTACATCCCTCTATAGAGCGGTACCACCAGTGGTGTGGAGGTTCCCACTCTCTACAAATTCACATGACTGATGTGTGACACATGTAACCTAGTAAATTCCATCACTTTATTTCTGACACATTTGAACTTGAACAGCAGACGATGCTGGGGAAGACAAAAGGAACGTGGTGTCATTTTTCTATAGCCCTTACACTGAGCAATCAACATTTACTTCACAATGACAAGTTAAAGCAAAAAAGTTCAGCATTGTTTTCCTTTCTCAAAATCACAGACATGTTCTATACCTATTCAACAGGTGTGAACTGAGTTTTTTGTGCTGTCGCAATGACTTGTTATAACCATTAGTGATATTAGGATCTTAAAAATGTTTCTGTAATACAAAACAGTACATGTGGCTGGTTACATTGACTTACCATATACTTCAGAATGAGATGTCCATCATCTTCCTCAAGTTGGATGCCCAGAGGATGGCCGCCCGGAGGATGGCAGCCCTAGGGTTGAAAGCACTTGTCGCCTGTATAAAAGGATTACAGTTGTTGAAATATCCCTCAAAACATCAATAATTACAAAAAATGTCTAGAATATATATAGGACCTATGGTGACCTTAAAATATACACTGACTTCATTCTCTTAATGGAATAATGAATTATCTTAGTTCTGCTTACATGACCCTACTACCTTTCCTTATATTATCATAAAGCACAACCTGGTGATTACTTTCACTTTACTGAAGCCTGCTTCTGGTGAACTCAGACTAGACTGACACAAAGTGAGCTTCTGCTGTTGCTCTGTAATGACTCAGCGTCATTGTGTTGACTGAACAGCAGCTTGCTGCTGCAATATACCGTTAACGTTACGGTGTCACCCCGTTCAGTTTACATTATGAGGGACGGTAACATTAACCCCTTGCTGTTTATTAAGTGCATCTTCAACACCATTTACTAACGTGATTTCAGTTAGCTTTGTCTAATTCTACCATACTGAAAATATTTGAAAACACACTTGCAACCAGTCAGGAATATACAGTTGGCAATCAGCATGGCCAGTCTACAACTCATTCAATTTTCCATTAACATTTGCATGTTTGTGAAGTCCACGCGCTACTAAAACAGTCTAAAAGCTACTAAAATTGAATTCACCTAGCATTACACTTGAGAGCAATACCATGTTAGCTTAATGTTAACATACATATCACCTTCACATTATGTTACCACATAACTAGGCTAGCTGTTGTGACGTTAGCTAAAGTAGCAACTAAGCTAACGTTAGCTGTTGTGGTGTTAGCTAAAGTAGCAAACACGCAATTGATAGTGTCAGCTAAATGATTTTTTTTATCAAACACTGTTTTAAAGTGTAAAGAAAACTCTGTTTTAGAACAAATAAAACACACATATGGTTATAAATTGCTTACTTACCGAAAACTGAGACCTGTGGACAGACAGCAGTGCACGAACTGTATTGCATCAAACACTGCATCAATGCACCGATTCATCGAAAAGTTGATTATTGCTGTGTACATAGACAAATGAATATTAAACAGCATATAGTCAACTACTGATGCTAACGCACTCCCATCGGCCCAGATTAATTAATTAATGTATTAATTTCTTGCATACGGTCATTATAGTGCCTTCATTTTTATTTTGAAATATTCTTGTTCCGGGTTACCTGTTGTGCTCTGCGTCTCGTTTTAAATGAAAAAACAAAAAAGGGATTTGCAAAAACGAAATACGGCTCGTTATTTGACTTTGGTTTTTCCGTTTTTGATTTGAAGCGAAAAACGAGAATACCATGGTATTTCCGTATTTTCGACTGAACGGTAAAACAGATGACTAAAACGTACACGGACCTTATTTGACTTTGGTTATTGGTTTTTCAGTCTTTGAATTCAGAACCAAAAACGGAAATACGACCGCCCATTTCCGTTTTCCCGTTCTTGGTTTGAAACGAAAAACGAGAATACCATATTTCCGTATTTTGGTTTTTCCGAATTAACGGCAAAACAGATGACTAAAACGTACACGGACCCAGCAGCAGCACAAGTTTGATGAGATTGAGTTGTTTCTTTGTTTGAAATGCATAAGGCTTCATAAAACTCTTCTTAAGGGTTATAAAGAATAAAACATTGTGGAAATAATGTTTTATAAGTTCAGCGTTCATGATGCTTTATACCTCCATGTCAAAGTGACAACGATGTTCATGTGTGTGTGTGTGTGTGTGTGTGTGTGTGTCTGTGTCTGTGTGTGTTTCTTTCCTTCTGCTT